ATAGTGCACTGGGTTCATCGTATCCCTACCCCATATCTGTAAATCAGTTTAAATCTACAGCAAATGCACTCAGTGACTGGACCCTGACTTTAGTAAACACCAAAGGCCACAGAAACCTTTATTAAGATGACAATACAGTAAGAGTGAGATTTTTATAGAGATATTATTATATTATAAGAACATTTAGATTTATGTACATCAAAAAATTAGTTATTAGTTCTTAACTAAGTATGGTTAACACCTTACTAAGGCAATGGAAAGTACATTATTGTCTTTTGACTGTATTATAAACATAAAGGGTATTGATTATTGCAAATAAACTATCAACTGTGATGTTGGTGGTAAAAAAAACGAACTACTTGAATAAACTCTGTACATGAACAACTACTGGAAACATACAAGACAAGTCTAATGGGCAGGGATGGGTTAATGTTACATATTCAGCAGCCCCCCTTAAAAACTGGGATTGGAAGGTTTTCCATTCAGCATACAAGCTATTGCATAAGGTTCAGTCATCCAGTGTTTCACTGCCTGTACACCTTAAATCAAGACCTCTCACATATAGGGTAAGTCAATCCACAGAACCAATATATTCAAATGAGAGTTTTGGGAATTTTGTATTCTGCAGTGAACTGAGTATTTATATTTTGATGTTATCTTTCTATCCACAGCTGCTATGCAAACCATTGTGCTGTTGGTGTTGTGGGTATTGGGGACATCACTGGTGTTGCCAGACCCAGACACCGCTGGGGACACAGTGTTTGAAGAGCCGTGTTCTAAGGGATGCACTTGTCTGCATGATGCCTACAGCTTGGAGCTCAACATGTACTGCAGTGCTCGGAACTTCACACAAACCCCGTCTGACATTCCCCCCACCACTCATTCCCTCTGGCTGGACGGCAACCTGTTCACATCCCTCGCAGCAGCGTCTTTTAAGGATCTTTCTAGCCTGGACTTTTTGAATCTGCAGAGTGGAGAGCTGCAGACTCTTGACCCTCAGGCTTTCAAAGGACTTGGGTCGCTAGCGCACGTTCACCTCGAGCGGAATCGCCTCCGTGCGTTACCAGGTACGATCTTCCAGAATACGCTCAACCTTGCCTCAATTAGTCTGCATAACAACCAACTGTCTCGTATTGAAGAAAGACTGTTTGCTGGACTCTCACACATGTGGCTTCTCAACCTAGGGTGGAACTCATTAGCAGTTTTACCTGAGACAGTTTTCCAGGACCTGCAAGGTCTACGGGAGCTCGTTCTCGCAGGGAACCGACTCGCCTACTTACAGCCACAGCTTTTCACAAATCTTGCCGAGCTTAAAGAATTGGATCTGACTGGAAATCACCTCAAGGTTATCAAAGCCAATGTATTTGTTAAACTCACTAAACTCCAAAAGCTCTACCTAGCCCAGAATCAGATTGTGACGGTGGCCCCCAGAGCCTTTGTAGGCATGAAGTCACTGAGATGGATGGATATCACAAACAACAGACTGACTTCGCTCCATGACGACACTTTCTTGGGCCTGCACAGTCTCCATGTACTGCGGCTTTCCAATAACTCAATCACTGGAATTCGGCCCAGGACTTTCCGGGATCTGCAGTACTTAGAAGAGCTACGCCTCAGCTACAACAAGATCCGAGCCCTGGGGGAAAGGATCTTTGAAGGGCTGGGTCATCTGGAGGTCCTAGAGCTAGAGCACAACCAAGTGCAGGAGGCACAAGTGGGTAGTTTCACAGGGCTCTCTCACGTGGCTGTCATCAACCTTTCTGGAAGCTGCTTCCAAAGTCTACCCGACCAAATGTTCAAAGGTCTGTCTAAGCTTCATAGTCTTCATCTGGACAGAGGTTGCCTAGCAAGGGTCACAGGGCAAGCTTTCACTGGACTGTCTGGTTTACGGAGGCTTTTCTTGCAGCACAATAACATCTCTGTTGTGGAACACCAGAGCTTTGTGGACCTGGTGGGCCTATTGGGACTGGACTTGAGTTTTAACAAATTGGACGCTTTCACATCCCCTACATTCTCCGGCCTAAGGAATTTGGAGTACTTGCTGTTATCCAACAATGAATGTCGACAGTTTCTGCAAAATGGCACAAAGCAGATACTCCCAAGGCTGCGCTATCTGGACCTGAGAGCTAATAGCTTGACAAGTATGGTCCCTGATTTTCCAGAGAGTATGGAAAAACTTTTGCTTTCCGGAAACCGGTGGAAATGTGACTGCAGTGCCCTCCCACTGAGAAATTACAGCTTACAGAGTCCGTTGGTGATACCTCGGCAAGTGGAGACCCATGCAGAGGGAGAAGAGCCTGACTCAACTATCACCATATACAACAACATAACATGCATTGGCCCACCACGTCTAGCTGGTCAGGACCTGCGGGATATTGACAGTGAACTCTTCCAAGGTTGCTAGACAAACATGCACAGATTGGATTTGAGAATTGTTTAATGTTCTGTAATATATATATAACAATGCTCATAACATTTCTGATATCAAAATGTAATGTCAACGCTAATGCATGATTCAGGTTTTTGTTTACCATTTACTATTAACAGATATATGGTAGCCTTTAGAGCAGGGGTGTCAAACTCAAATACACAGTGGGCCAAAATAAAAAAATCGGTACTAGTCGAGGGCCGGACTGGTTCAATGTTTATTGCAAAACTTATTGAAATGAACTTATTGCACATATTAAACCTGGAACTAACAAAGCTTAAATTATTGCCTATTGTTTTTCAACATTAAACATTACATAATCAGTTGCATTCATTTCTTATGGCTCTATCTGCAGCTTTTCCGGAGTCATTTCTTATGATCACATTTTTCCACAGGCCAACAACAGCTTCAATAAAACTATTTCCTTCAAAGAAAAAACCAAACATGCCCTGTTGTCTCAAGAAAGAAAGTGCACAAGGAAACATCCATTAAACTCAGTTTGCTGCTCTGTGATGCTAGTTCAAGCCAGATACTTGGCATCTCATCTTGGGTGCAAGTTCATCAAGGTTTGGGGTCAGGCTCTGAGCTGAGGAAATCCTCAGGATTGAGTGAAGGTGTGCGTGCAATATACCGGCGGGCCAGATCTAATAGTAATTAAAAATTATCCTGCGGGCCGAAATTAAATCCACCAAGGGCCTGATTTGGCCCCCGGGCCTTGAGTTTGAGTGTGCTTTAGAGAAAATGGTTGAAAATATTTATCAGGTGCTATTCATTTTTTTTTAAATGGAAAGACAATGCAAATTTGTCTTCATTAATGGTGAATGTGTAATTCTATGTAAAATACTTGTACAATTTCACCTACTGTACAGAAAGGAAGATTGGAATTGCACTCAATATTAAACAAAATAGGTGGATGTATTTTTCAAATATTTAAATATCACTTGAACCCACTTCTTCGTGTTTCTCATGAGTATTTTGAGACATTAACAATCTGGATAACAGGTCAAAACAAATGTAAGCCTGATTTGAAAACATAGGTACATTTACATAAAACTAAGAGCACCAAAACTGCATTTTAAGTTTAACCCATTAAGATAAAAACAATTAGCAAAAATGTCAGGCAGTAGGAAATATCTGAAGGCTCCAGCTTTAAATATCAAGAACTGTGTATTACTTAGTTTAGTAAATAAACATGTTTTGTCACTTTAAAAAGAAATACACTATTGGAAAATTTGCCTGAAAGTGCAATAAATATTTTTAAACTTGTGTATTTGTGTACATTTGTGTATTTGAACATGCTTAATTTAAAGTTCATCAGGGGACGGATTAGCTAAACCACAGAACCCAACTACAACAACACTGATACACAGCACAATGTCAGTCATACAACAAAAGTAAAATGTTAAAGTTTCACAGGAAAAAATATAGATATCACTATGACCTGAAAGCATGCATCTGAATATGAACTGAATATGAACAGAATATGTGTAGACTTACCTTTCAGTCTAACAACTGGCTCGTCCTGGTCGATGCAGCACCTGCATTATATAGCACAGTAGTTAGCTAGCTAGCTAATGAGCTAGCTTGCCAGGTGCACGAATTATTTCAGTACAACACTGAAATTGCAGTTTACAAGCCAGAATGCGAGCATGTGTGTACACTGCATTTACTGATATAGAATACAACGTTGCACTTGCACTACATAAGCGCAGAATACTGTACACAACCTTCACCCAACATTTCTATCTATCTATCTATCTATCTATCTATCTATCTATCTATCTATCTATCTATCTATCTATCTATCTATCTATCTATCTATCTATCTATCTATCTATCTATCTATATATCTATCTATATATCTATCTAAGTTGGTTAATTACGACATTTCTGACAGCACGTGAAGGGAACATTGTTGTTAGATCACACGTGCACAGGGAAGTTTTCCGTTGCCGTGGTGACCAAAGACCCTGAAACAATCAATGCGGAACATAAACGGAACCTTCGCGGTTAAACTGAAGTTGTTATATCTATTTACCGCTTGTTATGGACTTAAATAATTCGTCCTGTTGGGATTCGATTCGGGAGAAGGTGAAACAACATATACCAACCATCGACTTCGATTCTTCGCCAGTATGTATTTGTATTTTCCTCCTGAATTGTGTATGCTTGCTAACTGACAAAAGCGACATACAATGGCAAATAACATCCACATGATAACCTGGTACTTCTTAACATTACAGTCCGAAAATGAAGAAGTCGTCACTGTATTTCAGAGACCAGCTGGTCTTTCCCTGGAAGTCCCGAAAGGCTTTGACCTATTTTCAATGGGTGATGATGAATCAGAGGTGAGTTGGTTATAATTTGATTTAAACAGTGTTAATGGTACTCAGGACCCCCAAACAAACTTGACTAGCAATCACTGGCATGTGTGTGCGTGTGTGTTTGCTCAATCAGAAGCTGATGAAACCATGCTGGTCAGAAAACAGAGTGAAGTTGGATGATGATGATGATGATGATGATGATGATGATGATGATGATGATGATGATGATGATGATGATGATGATGATGATGATGATGATGATGATGGTGATACAGCACAAGGAGCTGCTGCCTCTCAGTGGAGAACACAACACTCTGATGCTGATGTCCAGGTGGGTTTTATTGAACTAAAGCCACTATTTACACAAGTGTATCATAATATGTAACTAACTTATACCACCACATCTTAGAGAGAAATATTCTACTTTCTACTCAAGGAGGAAGTGTTAAAATACTTTTAAAGATACTTGGAAAGCAACAAAGCTAAAAAACCTATGAGGATCTAATCGACATAATACCTAGAAATATCAAGGGTATGATGTGCTACATAATGACTACTTTTACTTTCAATACTTAAAGGTGGGGTATGTAATTTATTTCAGAAACACTTTTTGTTATATTCCATGGAATGCTCTTAACATCCCGATAGCAATGAATATATTAAATGCTTTGACAATAAATACATAACATTTTTTAATCTGTGGAAGCAGTAGTACTGTAAAAAGCACGACCAATCATTTTAGCCGGCTCGGCTAAAATAACTGGATGGCCTACCTGCCTGTCAGCCTTCCATCTGTGCACAAACTTATCTCGTGCCCTCATTGGTCATGTGCGCGTTCGTGTGTGTTGGAGGAGGGGCTCTGTAAGGAAGTGGCAGATTTTTCCGGTTGTGTATTTTCGAGCTGGTTTCTCCAAAATTACCTACCCCACCTTTAAGGTATATTTTGCTGATAATATTAACATTCTTCTACTCTTAGAGGTTCTGAATGCAGCACATTTACTTGTAGTGCACTATTTCTACAGTGTGGTTGTAAGGTAAAGAATCTGAATACCTCTTCCAACACAGCTGAGTATGCACTAATTTTCACATGTTCTGTTTTAATATTGAAGGGAGACGCTTGTAAGAGAGATGTTCTACAGGTGAACGGAGCCAAGCTGAATGATTCCGTAAAACCAAAAGTGGACAAAACTAAATCTAATGAGGGTTTTCCTGTTCTCTCATTTGCGGTGAGTTTGGGCAAGTAAAAAAGGTTAGGAAGTAAGGAGTTGTCGTTAATAGAGAACAAATATTCTCATTATTAAAAAAAATCCTGCTTTTGTTACACAACAAAATTCAGAGGCTTGATCAGTGGGACTTGGATGAAGTCCTCCAAAATCTAAAAAAGGATGGGTTGCCTCTGCGACAACGTGTGTCAGCTGAACCTTCACAAGCACTTGCAGGTTAGTCATTTTTATCGCCCTGTAGCTATAGGATGATTATGGGGATATATATTTAATTCACAAGATGGATTTACTATCACATATAATAGATTCAACACCTTTTTTGTACATAGATGGTGAAAAGAACAAGTCAGAGCAGAATATAATGGAGAGACTAGTTGCTTTCTGTGGCAGCCAATCAACTGAGTCTGAGCCTTTAAAAGGCCTAAACCACATTAGGTAAGTCATATTGAGGTTTTGTGATCAGAACTTGTAAGATTATGATAACAATAAATCACTTGTTTCATGCAGACAGAATAATGTGAACAACAAATCAGTGGAGAGGATTGAAGCCGAGCTGCAGCTGATCCACAAGGAATGCCCAACGGTTTATATTGACCTGCGTTGCGTCGATACTTCAACAAAACAACAGAGAACATCCCCAAATGTTTCATCAGAGCCCAAGTCACCAGCCAAACTCAACACCCACCAGACAACAACATCTATAAACAAACCCAATCTTAATGTGCATGCTGGATCACAGACAGGAAATAGGTAAATATAACCACATTATAAACATTTGCCATGCTTCAGTTTAGCACATTTTGTTTCAGTTTGTGTCATTTCTCCACCAGGGAAGTCATTGGCAAGAGTCTGCTGCTCCAGAAAATCAGGGAGATGAGGAGAAATGAGAATGCATTTTCAGTGCCAGGGAATGAAGCAGACGATATGAAAGAGAACATACCCCATGCCAAAAAGTCATCACATGTACACTTTGACAGAAACATTAAAATGGAAAGCCCCAAAACAACTCAGCAAAGTACAATCAAAGAAACAAATCATCCGAGGTATGGGTTTCTTCTTTTTGAATTCATCACTTAAAGGTGGGGTAGGTAATTTTGGAGAAACCAGCTCGAGTGCGCTAGAATTTGAAGATACACAACCGGGAAAAATCTGCCACTTCCTTATAGAGCCCCTCCTCCAACACACACGAACACGCACATGACCAATGAGGGCACGAGATAAGTTTGTGCACAGATGGAAGGCTGACAGGCAGGTAGGCCATCCAGTTATTTTAGTCGGGCCGGCTAAAATGATTGGTCGTGCTTTTTACAGTACTACGGCTTCCACAGATGATATTTTTTAATGGATTTTTTGTCAAAGCACTTAAGATATTCATTGCTATCGGGATGTTAAGAGCATTCCATGGAATATAACAAAAAGTGTATCTCGAGCCGGTTTCTCAAACTTACCTACCCTACCTTTAATTGAGAAAAAAACGACAATTTTAACCATGAAATTGCTGATTTGTTAGGGACCAAACGAGACAGCAAGTTAGGAAACCATTACAACATGAACAACGGAAGATTCTTAAGCAGCTGGAGAAACATCGCCCAACCAAATCTGTCAATCAGAAGCAGCCAGCTGCTGAAAGGACGGACGTCCTGTATGATTTCGTAAGTGCCACCAAACAAAACTAACTTGAACTTATACTGTAAAAATGGCCTTCATTAATTTTCACTTTTTATTTTTAGGAGGCATCTCATCTACAAACAATCTGTACACTATCAGCAGATATTGAAAGTAAGGGGTGTATGCTGCTGATTGTCGACCTATCAACTCCTGGTACAGTCGGAGCAAGGGCTCATGGGAGGAACAAACATCGAAATCCAGCTCCGTCCAAACCAGACATCTACAACACTTTAGTGGCTTGGTTTCTGTCTTTGGTGAGTGAGCAGTTCTCCTAATGTGTGCACAGTATTTGTTATCGCGACAATATGTAAGAGTCACTTGTTTGTGTGTGTTAGGCTGGCCCACAACATGATGAAGAGGAGGGTAGTGCAGAGGTCCCATTCTGGGTTGCAGGCCTTCAGCAGCTGTGGACAGAGGGTGGACTGGCTCTGCACGTTTTAGCCGTGGCTCGGCAAACGTACACGCCAAGGGTGAATAGACAAACAAAAGCGTTACGTCTGTAGGCTTTACAATGTCCGTGCTAATGCTCTTCATCACTTTGTTTGCTTGGCAGAAAAGGGACAGAGACATCCACACACGGTTCTATAACCATGTGTGCCGGTTCCTCTCTGAGACTTTGCTCACTCAGATCGCCCACTGGCTTCCTCAGCTGAAAAACGTGCTGGACCAACAAACCTACGCCTCACCCATCGATCTGCCCTCCTCCTGTCTGAACTGTTTCATCTCCACCACCACAGACAGAATGGTAATTGGCTTCAGAAAGTGTGATTCAAAAGAACAAATCATGAAAAACTCACTTTGACAGTACAGTCATTTGGGTATGCGGAGTGCAAGAAGCCTAAAACTAAAGTATGAACCCGGAATGAGCATAAATCCCCTTTAACATCATTTGTAAAGCACTGATTTTGCATTGTGATTCTGTATGCTGTTATCTTGTATTTCAGGTTATAGTTCGGACATTTAGCCTCAGCCCAGGGTTTTACTGGCAGACTCTGGAGACTCAGGAGCGTGTGTGTAAGGGGAGAGAGAGCACACAGGAGCTGCACACTGAGGTGAGTACGATACCCTCAGAAGTGCAGGATCAGAGGCAAAGTAACGCTGGAATCACTGAATATTCTGCTTTTATTTTCGCTGCAGGTTTCAGTCGCTCTGGGGCGCAGAGCTTTCTTCCTAGATCCCCTCATGACACACTACACCCTCCAGCTTATCCTCCACTCAGGGCTGGATGTGTGTGGTCTGAGGCTCCTCTATCCACCACAGGAGCTCCTGAGTGACAGAGAGGGTAGGCATAACTAAAACTATCTGCTGATCAAATACTCACACTGGAACAAATGCTGCTCCAAAAATAAGTTAAAGTGGACCTATCATGCTATATTTGAATAATATAGTGTAGGACCATACCTATATAAGGCATATTTATACTTTTTTTTTTTCAAAATACCAAACAGATCCAGCATTTTAGCCATGCCTCATTTCGCTCAATTTGACAATTTATAGCTCTGTTTTTGCAAGGGTTGATTCTGTGAGAACAGCACCATCTACAGGCCTGGCATATGTACTACAGCGTCTCCAGCGCTTTCGAACGGCAATGGCCGTGGCTGTCTCCTCCTGATTGGTGGAGTTGGCCCAATAGCCGTAGCGCTACTGTCCTGACGTCAGGACAGTGTTCAAATCTGGATCAGTTTTTATCAGATCCGTTGCAGCCCCTTTTTTAGAGATTTGGGTATGGAGGAAAATAGAGAGGGTTGTGTTTTCTGACACTTGGTGAGTTCCCTGGAACACCGGGGACACATATTCATGTATAAAAGACGTACAAAAGTGCATTTTGCATGATAGGTCCCCTTTAAACAATAAGTGAAAATGTGCTTGGTAAGATTTCTTGAAATAAGAAGGGATATTTAGATAAATCAGATCTTGTAATTAGCTGGGAGAACTTATTTTGAACTTTATTTGACCAGAATCAGGAAATGTTGTGTGACAAAATAAGCCGCAAATGCTCAAAAGTGTTCTGTTTTCTGATGTTAGTTGGTGATTTTCTAATAAATATGTAAAATAATATGTGTTTCATCTGCGATACAACTCAAAATAAGATTATTTGACTTAAAAAGATGATGCATTGTCTAAAAACAAGACCCTATATCTCACTGCAGTGTTACTTCTGAAGTTATTATGTCTTATATCAGGTGTAAAGACATCTTCTGACTAGATATAAGACAAATATACTTTTTGTAGTGCAATAACTCTCCTTCTGGCTCATTGCTGGTTGTCCTGGATCCAACTGTGGCCTCGGCCTCTTCAGTGTCTTTATTGAGCTAAAATAGTCTTTAACCCCCCCCCTCTGATTCACAGATGCTGCAGCAGGTATCCAGAGAACAGATGAGTTCTGCCAGCCTGTTCTTGCCCTTGCTGTCCGTGGCCTTCATGCCCACAAAGTGTTGGCAGATTTAACTAGTTCCTTAGATCCTCTGCTGCTCAGAAATACAGATCTAGACCCTCCCCACTGCAGAGGTCCAGAGTCTGCCCTCTTCTACCCCCCTCCAAAGGCTAGTGGGGTCCACAGGGAGCTGTGCTTCTGGTTTTCAGGAAGAATTCCAGGAGGAAGTGCTCCGAATCACAACCGGCCTCTAAATAGGTTTGTTGTCAAGACATTATAAAAAGTACAACAACAACTAAATGTTTTCTTTAATTATATATTTGGTGGTGTGAATTGAAAAAAACAGGGTTAGCACATTTTTGAAATGGTAATTGTTCGAAAACTTTTCTTAACATTTCTTTTTATAAATATTAATGTCAAAAGAAATATAAAAAGCTGACACCCTAGCCCTGCTAAGTGACTTTTGCAGGCAGACGTTAACAACTATAACTTTCTATAACCAAAATCTTATCAAGCCTAAAGAGTGTTTCTAAGTACATAACAAAGCATATTACCTTCATTACTGTGGCTGCTTTTTATTTGAATAGACTCATTTTCAGGCGCCTTATTTTGTTTGTAGAGTGGATCCATCAAAAGACAGAACCGAAGACACCCTGTTCAATTCAAGCAGTTCACCGTCCTTACTGTGTGCGACAACAAAAGGTACAGTGACTCAACATGGAGCCAGAACCGTTAGGACAACGTTCGAAAACTGGCCAAATTTCAATTCCATCTTTACTTTGGAACTGTGTTTGTAAAGATGAAAGATGTTTACTTGAGTGGGGTTGCTAATCCTTGTCTCCCCCCTACAGCTGACCTTCTCCTGGTGGTCTCTCCAGCCGTGCCTCCATGTTGTTTCGCCCAGCTGCTGGCTGTGTGTGAGCTCAGAGGCTTCAGAGTGTTGGGGGTTCAGAGGCTGCAGCTGCAGAGCAGTGGAGCGGCAGCCCTGGGTCTCTCCAGCCTGCAGGTAGAATTAGATACATTCAGACTTTGAGGAAAACAGTGTGTATAATATAAAGATACAATATTATTATTACCAAAGTTAATCATTAAGAAATATATTTGATATTGTACACAACTGCTATAGTTGTAGGGAAATGTAATATTTACTGGAGGGGCCCTACCTGTAGTGTGTTATATATGTTTTAGTGCATGTAAATGGTCTGCTAAGGCTAAAATCCAAGTTTCCTCCAGAGGGAGTTTCTCTCCCACCCCGGCCTAAAACTCCTCCATTGTAGTCCTTTGTTTACTTCCATAACATAGTGACATTATGTAACACTCTTGCTTTATCCGCTAGCTCTCTAACACATTGTACGTGATTATTAACCAATCATCACAGAGCTGGCCAGCTAGCCAATCAGAGCAGACTGGGCTCGCGTTTCAAATAGGGTGAAAAGAGGAACTTTGTGAACATGAAATCATGTAAACATGTCACAGTAGAGACACAAAAAACACTGATGGAACCTGAAAGTGAGCATAATAGGGCCCCTTTAAAAGGAGAATGTATTTTGCTAGACCTTGGAGCTGCTGATGGAACAATTGTGGTCTTTGAGGCAAATGCACCTCAATGTGGGCCAAGTTAACTGAGGTCTAAGAAAACAAATATTTCGGCTCTTTTGAATCACAATCTGTGTGTGTTTGATCTAGGCTCCTGTGTTCTGCAGTCCTCTTCCTCTGACCCCAGATCAGGATCAACTGGAGTCGCCCTCTCACTGTCTGGTGTTGTTACTGAGGAAAGAAAATGCAGCGCACCACAGTGTCAGTCTGCCAGCAGGTCCGTACACCATCTCAAATTATATCTACAGCGTAAATAATCTACATTAATCATATTAAAAGTAACTTTTTCAATTGAACAATAGAACAACCTTGCCGTTGCTTTTTTGTTTCAGCCCTAATGAGAGAACTTAAGGCACAAAGGCTTCTGGGTAGCATCCACTCTGGACCTGATGGTGTTGACACAGTAGAACCAAGCTCCTGGTTCCACACTGTGCCTTACAGCAGTCACCAGCACCACATCTTTGGTAAGCAACGTGTGTTCAAGGTCCAGAAGAAGTACACTATCCTCTGTTTATAGTGTTTATTTTCCTCTTAGTCAGGTGTATGTGGGCGGTGCCAGACCCTTCCACTGTGATCCTGTCCCATCAGAGGTGCCCACCCGACCCTGAGGTGGACCAGGTGGTGGTTTTGACCTTGAGTGGGAAGGACATGAGCCGAGGTCTGAGCCTCCTACACAGAGCGCTGACAGGAGGGCCAGACGGTGGGTTTGAGGACAGATTGTCCTACTTAGAGCTGGAGGTGGCACTAAACAAACAAAAGGCACTATTAAACACACAGCGCAGTCTACACAGTTTAACAAACAAACAGATTAGCAAGTATGCGGGGGAAGTATTTCATCAGAATTCTTTTAAAGCGTTAATATGTAACTAGTCCACATTAATGTTTTAAAATTACTAGACCTATGTTATATATTATGTTACATTGTTTACCTATGTTTTTAAAAATAATTTTCAAGTTAAAATGATGTTCTTGATGATTGATGCCTTTAATTCTCTGTAGTTTTGCAGCATGGTGGTTATCTGCTAGAAGCTGCCATACATTGACCTTTTATTCAGTTTTACTGTAAGAACCAGTTTTAAACTACATTTCTTCGATCTTGGTATTTTTTAACTATACATTTCTTACAAAATCATGGATTTTAGTCATTAGACATCTAGATCTGAAGTTATCAGAGAAACATAGTTCACAAAGTCACCCGTCTTCTGTTGTTGGTTTGATGGAGAGACCCCTAATGGAAGAAATACACATAGTGTGCCTTTATCTTACCTCACATCTGTATTTTTCAATAGTTGCAATGTTTTTTAAATTGATATTCAAGGTGAAAAAGGATTGGATCTGCTTGCTCTGAAGTGGCTGCCTGCGCTGACCCGGCTGCAGGCTCAGGAGCTGAGTCCGTACGAGGTTGGAGAAAAGCTCTATAATGACAGCCTGGACTCTCTGATGGGCCCCCCCGCCCTCCTGTGTGCTCTCAGACAGGTGGATGCTTTTGCTTCACTGAGAAACCTTCTACCACACGATTACCCCGGTAACCTCAGCATCCTGATGTCCCCCACACAGGAAGTGGCGTTCAGACAAACCTCCCTCTTCTTCTTCCAGAATGAGATGATTGCTGGTAGGTTTGTTCAGAATCAGAATCAGAAACGGGTTTATTACCAGGTAGGTTGACACGTACGAGGAATTTGACTTGGTGTCGTTGTGCATACATTAAAATAAAAATAAAAATGTAAAAAAAACAGATCCAGAACTTTTTTAAGAACACTGATAACATTAAAAAATAAGAAAAAATATAGTAAAATAAAAAATATAATAAAGTTCAGTGCTGTAGAAACAAAACATTAGAATCCACAGCTTAATCTCTTGACCGATGATCTGGTTTGAAGTTATTGAGACCGAAAATGAAGGACATTGCTCATTACGCACTTCTATCTTCTGTTGTTAAAGCAAAAACAACCCGATCTTAAAATCAAATGTAATTCTTATTACCGCAAGCATGTTGAGCCTGTTTTGATATTATGTTGATCATATTATGTAGTGATAGCTTAATGTAGATTTCTAAAAACTACGGAACACAGGAAATAAGAATGACATTTATTTGTTGTAATTTGCTAGTTGACAAAAAAAATCCTAAATGTGACTTAAAAACCTCAGATGGTATCTGATCTTTTTCTAATACATTTTTCAACTTTAATCTTTGAAATTGAGACTTTTCCCTCTGGCTCCATTTTGTTTTTTACCTTAAATAGTCCTAGTACACCGTCTCACAAATTAAATCTAAATCTGAGGATCAGTATATTTTGTGCAGCCCAGGCTTGTGTATAATACTGGAGAACTGTATTATTATATTTATACAAGATCTAACTTTTTGGGGCACATAGTTGTGTTTAAGACTGTATTAAAGCGGCATGTCTTGCATATCATTTTGGAACATTCCCTCTCCTGTTCAGAGCCCCAGATGCTGCTCACTGTGTGCCTGCTCAAGCCAACAGTCTGGAATCAAAGTGTGGCTCAAACCGTGCACACCCTCCAGCTGAGGGGCCTCTCTCTGGTGGGCCTGCGCGTTGTGACTCTGGACAAACACACGGCCTCCTCACTGCTGCCTGCAGAAGATGTAACTAAGAAGTATTATCTGCCCGACAAATACACTGTGCTACTATCAAAATTCCTCAGCCTTGATATTTGTGTAAATTGTTTTGCGCAGGACCCTGATGTGGAGTACTTGTGCTCTGGCCCCTCATTGGCTCTCTGCCTGCAGGGGGAGGGGGCCGTGACGAAGCTGCTGGATGTGGCTCATTCAAACACTGGCATCTATGGTACGTCCCTGTTCTGTATACTGTGTTATATTTGTATGTATATACAGTACAAGTGCATTGTTATTAAGTTCTATACAAATAAGGGTTCACAAAATACAGTATATTTGGACTGATACATTATAGACTGATATTGGTAAAGTTATATTATTATGTAAAATTCAGATAAAATACAGTTTATGATTTTTTTTGGAAACAATTACTCATTAAATCAGTGTTGGCCATTTGAACCAGGAAATGAAAGGTTGCGGGTATTGGCTAAAAATAATGATAATATTGTGCACGCATATAAACCTGCATTGCCGTTCTTTAAGTGTTTGTAAAACCAATATTTGGGGCGGATGTTCAAATCCCGCCTTGAGGCAAGACACTTCACCCTAATCTGCTCCTGTGGGTATTGTCCACAGTATTCATTGATACATGTCTAATATATGTAATATGTAATGTAAAGCGCTAAAATACATGTAATGAATTATTATCTTTAATTATTAACTATTTTAGGATCGGCATCACATCAGAAAGCGATTCAGGATGTGAGGAGGCTCTTTCCAGAGGGGCTGTGCTGTTCTGAGAGCAGCACAATGAGACAGGAGCAGGTATGCATGTCACACACAGGACTACTCAGTACTGAGGTCGCACTTTCTACAGATCAAAGACATTCAGTTTGTGCTCGGTTTCTCCTCTCAGATACTCAGCCTGCGCTCAGACCCTTCAGCCTCTTTGGAGCGGGGGCAGAGCTGCACTCGGGCCTCTGTGGACCAGGAGGGGGGGGCACCTTCCATGGCAGCGGGACATAATGGAGGTGTGGACTAAAGACTAGACAAGACTAAATGTCTTTATTTTTATTATCAGACTAAATGTCTTTATTTTTATTATCAGACTAAATGCCAGAGATGGCAAAAGTACACACATCCTGTACTCAAGTAGAAGTACAGATACTCGTGTTTAAATACGCTGGTAAAAGTAGAAGTACTGAATGAACTTCTTTACTCAAGTAAAGAAGTATGGGCTTCGAAATGTACTTAAAAGTGGGGTAGGTAAGGTTGAGAAACCGGCTCGAGATACACTTTTTGTTATATTCCATGGAATGCTCTTAACATCCCGATAGCAATGAATATCTTAAGTGCTTTGACAAAAAATCCATAAAAAAATGTCATCTGTGGAAGCCGTAGTACTGTAAAAAGCACGACCAATCATTTTAGCCGGCCCGGCTAAAATAACTGGATGGCCTACCTGCCTGTCAGCCTTCCATCGGGGCACAAACTTATCTCGTGCCCTCATTGGTCATGTGCGCGTTCGTGTGTGTTGGAGGAGGGGCTCTGTAAGGAAGTGGCAGATTTTCTTCCGGTTGTGTATTTTCAAATTCTAGCGCACTCGAGCTGGTTTCTCCAAAATGACCTACCCCACCTTTAAGTAAAAAGTACCCATAAATGTAAGAAGTAGAAAGTACAGGTATTTGTGTTCAAAATGTAAGAAGTAAAAGTAAAAAGTCGTCAGAAAAATAAGTAGTTTCTGATACCAGAAAGATATACTACTTAAACACAGTAACAAAGTATTTGTACTCCACTACTTTCCACCTCTAGTAAATGCATTGATAACTTTAGTTGTTGCATTGGCGGTGCAGGATTTCTTGGCATTACATTCACACTTTAAAGTCAAATCATCAAATGTTGGGGAGTTGGGGAATGATTTATTAAAGTGAAATAGGTCATTTATTGAGACTTTGGCAGCGACTGGATGTTGAAATATGACTCTCTCCCAGATGACCTTGTTAGTCATGGACAAAACAAATGTTGTCTCTCTTGTTTGTTGGTGCCAGGTCTACACAGCTCTGCCTGGCAGACGACCTGTCTGCTGATACCCGTAAACGCCCCCCTTCTCAGTGGGGCGCCCCCCCACCTGGAGCTGCTGGAGCGGCTGCTGGGGGGGGGGTGCCATCTGGTGGCCGGGAGGATGAGCCTGCTGGACCCTGAGCAGAGGAGACACATCGCTGAGACCCTGATGTCCTCCAGAGGAGAGGAAGGGGTGAGAAGACCATCATTAAACCGACTAGCTTTAGAGCTCATTGTCTTACAGTGATGGAGTTTAAGTATATACATTTACTCAAGTACTGTGGTTAAGTACAATCCTGAAGAACTCAATTTACTTAAGTATTGTAATATATGCTACTTTCTCTACTATACTTTGGATAGGAACATTGTGCTTTTTACTTCGCTACATATATTTGATATCTTTGTTTCTTATTACTTTGGATCCAGATTATTAATGCAAAATATAAAAGTAATGATGCATTAGTATAGCTTAAAGTGGACCTATCATGCTATATTTGAATAATATAGTGTAGGACCATACCTATATAAGGCATATTTATACTTTTTTTTTCTTCAAAATACCAAACAGATCATGCATTTTAGCCATGCCTCATTTTGCTCAATTTGACATTTTTTAGCTGTTTTAGCAAGGGCTGATTCAGTGAGAACAGCACCATCTACTGGCCTGGCATATGTACTACAGCGTCTCCAGCGCTTTCGAACGGCAATGGCCGTGGCTGTCTCCTCCTGATTGGTGGAGTTGGCCCAATAGCCGTAGCGCCACCGTCCTGACGTCAGTAAAGTGTTCAAATCTGGATCAGTTTTTATCAGATCCGTTGCAGCCCCTTTTTTAGAGATTTGGGTATGGAGGAAAATAGAGAGGGTTGTGTTTTCTGACACTTGGTGAGTTCCCTGGAACACCGGGGACACATATTCATGTATAAAAGACGTACAAAAGTGCATTTTGCATGATAGGTCCCCTTTAAATCTAACCAGCAGTATCCCAGCTACAACATCAGTCATAAACACATTAACGCATCACTCTATAATCACATCATTCAGTAATATTATATATACATATTACCTATGGGCCATTCAGCCTTTATACTTTTGCTTCAGCACTTTTTAAAATGTCTTTCATTTGAGTAAGATTTGTAAATTAGGACTCTTGCATGTGACAGACTCTTTCTTAACTTGTGAATTGTACTTAACCAGTGCTTTATTTGTAATGAATCCCCGTGTCTCCTGTCTCTGTTTAGTGGTCCCATCTTCCCGCGGCACCCTGTCTCATCGTGGCTCTGCAAGGGAAAGCTGTTGTGACCGGCTTTAACTCAATCCTTGAAAGGTATTTAAAAAAGCACAATTAAAATCTATTGTGTATGCATGTAGAATATTTATAAATATTCATGTGATTAATATTACTTTCATTGTGACATTAGTATTTACAAGGAGAGGACAGACCTGGAACAAGTGGGGGAAATGATGATCTACCCAGAGACTCAGAAAGAGGTACTTTATTTACTTACTCTTAATGAATGCCCATTAACAGTTTATAGCTGCATTCTGTAAACCAATGTGTTGTACTGTCATGATGTTATTATATTATGGTATGTCACCTTAACAGGAATATGTTGTTTCTCCTCCAGGCCGAGCAGCTGATGGGCTTTCTATTTGATGACTTGTCCACAGAGAAGTGCCAAACAAATGTGCCATAAAATGTAAAAGTATGCCAATGTATTAGTCAGCCTTTTTATATATGTTACGAAATATGTAATTTAAAATGATTCAGAACATATCCACATGTTTCCAAGTTGCCGTTCTGAATAAAGTGTTATCCCTGCTTTGTCAGATTCAGTATTTCCAAAATTGTGTTTGAGACAAAAAGTATTCACACATTTCAGATGAAAAATTATTTTAATTTTCAAGATGATAAAAATAATTGTGATAACTCTGTAAACCATTGCATAACTGTAGTGTAACAATTCAACAAGTGTTAACAAACTAGTGATACACTACAGCAAATATGCTGTACACAATCCTCAATGTAGAAAAGAACAATCTAGTTTACTAAGACTTGCACCTATTTCTGTGTTCACAACACAAAACATATCAATATACCAAGAGAATCATTTCTAAGATTATCAGTAGAGAATTTCCTACATATCCATACAGCTGCTCACAAAATAAGGGACATATTGATTATTCTATAAATAAGATCTAAACCCACTGTTGTTCAGTAAATAATCCAAGAAATGCAGTTTCCTCAGATGTAACAAATTCTTTATGAAATCACTGAGAAAAAGACATTTCTTTCCTTATCCTTCCTCGTTATGCTGACAAATAGAAACTTGAAAACCTTTATTTGTTTGAGTTCTAATACATTTTATTGAATAGCGGTTCACAACTAGATGCTACATCATAATGAATGACCTGCGCTCCATAATATCCAGTGACCTATCATTGAATATCTCATTTAGAACAATACATTCAATATTTCAGGGCTTCGATGTTAAAATAACATGACATTTTCTAAAGTGTATGGAACAGCTGGTTCCACATTCAGATTCTTTACGTTTGACAACACGTGTCGTTCTAGCATTTTGCTTAATTTGAACAGCTCCATCATTTGCATGTATAAGATTGCATAAATCTTCAGGCTCCATCTTTCATTATATTAAAAAAACAAAAAGACATCACAACAACTAACAATAATGCAAATTAGATTAAACTATTCCAATGCAGAGCATAATGATACATCTATTACAGTTCATTTACAAGAGTCTTCCCCGTTGGTGCTTTTCTAACAAACAAATTGACTTTTTGGTGCCAAATGACTCCGAGATCAAAATGAATTGAATGGTAGTTCAGCAAGTATTGCTGCGTTTTATTTAATTTTATCGTATGGCAAATACAGACTGAGATAGACGAATATTTTTCAATTACAGCAGTGTTTCATTCAGCTCATGTGGCCTGAATCCTAGAGGATCATTTAGCGTTCACAGAATGGTCTAAATATCGTAAGGCACTGGAATTTTGAATCTAATTAAGCAATTTGAGAGCAAATGTGTCTCATCTTCTCTTGATACCAATCAATATAATGCGATTATTAAAGGCACAGATATACTTGAAAGTAATTGGTCCGTTAGATAAATTGAACAAATCTAAAGAAATGCGAGCTGTGCTTATCAAGTGAATGTTTCTTTCATGTTACAAAACTTGAATTGGGGCGAGTAGACCACAAGAGAGACAAACAATTATCATAACAAGAACTCAAGTTTGAATTATATGTCTGTATCTGCCATTAACGTTTGTCACAATCATCACCTGTCCCGTCATTGTACAAAAACTCATTTGGACCAACAGCTTCAAAGAGATAGAAAACAAAGAGTCAGAGAGAAGAAGCACCGTTCACTGTAGGCCTACCATAACAGCATTTAATGCATAACCATCCATTTCCAAAGTGATTGAGATTATTCGTTAAGCTAAAACGACAAACCGTTTATATGGCCACTTCAGAAGCACACATGTCATCACGGTGACATTCCTTCACTGTAGACGACATTAAACTGACACTGAATCCTCACTTGAGGCGGCTTGTGCTAGCCAGTATTGCACAAACCTGCCATTAATGTATACCTAGCACAAAAATCAAATATACAAATACACATTTTAGAAGGACCCATGCACTTTTGATGAACATTATCTATTTAAGGTACTAGGTGATTACTTTAAAAAAAAAAAAAAAATCAATTTAGGTCTCCTTACTGAAATAATTAAAAAAATGAAATGTAGTACAAAAACAAAGAACAACAGTTTAGGTCTTTGGTAAAACTGCAGAAAATGAGCTCGAGTCCATTGATGTTGTAAGCAAAAGCCATTGGCATATTCCTGTTGGTTACTCTCTACCAGGAAGTCTTACTGAATCACGTATTAAGAGCAAAAAGCCATCCAAAAACAGCCATTTTATTTTGTTTTATCTGGATGGCCTTCATGACTACAGGCAGATCTTAGAAATTGTTTTATTCCAAGGGTAATTTCCCCTTTTGAAAACGTATTTGGACAGCTACTAGAACATCACTTTGGTTAATTTTCCGCACACTACATCATTAATTTAGTTGGCTTCACAGCTAAAGCAAAACAGACCCTGCACCGTGGGGGGAAAGAACTCTGACAAAAATAACCTAAAAAGGGACAATCTATGGCAGTACGGCTCTGTGACATCATTCTTAGTGATATACAAAAGTACTGAATGGATTTACAAATCATTAACAAGTCAAGTTAGACAGATGATATCATAGTTTCTAAAAATCGGAGCTGTGGACCACGACATTCAAACATCTAAATGTAATAACAAGAAACTACATGAATACCTTTTCCAGTAGCAGCGAAGCTCGCAGAAGTTATTAAGCCTTTACTACACTCAAAATAGGTCAATACAAATATCCTGGCAGTGACACAGAAATGTTTTTCCCTCTTTTCTTTGTAGCTGGTTAACATATCGCATAATAATCTAGAAATGATCAGCCTGCTATTTATGCAATTTAACGTCATCATTAAATGCTAAAATACTCTCTTTTTGATTTGCTTAATTGTCATTTATGTGAATGTAAACAATTCCTTTTCCCATATTAAGAAGTAGCAAAAAGTGTACCATGATTTTATATATTGAATAATACGCAAGAATAATCTTTTCTTTAACACAGTAGAAGGTCATTTCAAACAGAGGAACCTACCCAACTTACACTTCACCCACAGAACTCTCAATTCACGGCAAAATCATTACAATTAAAACAAATCATTTTTTAATATGTTGCTATACAAATACATCTGTCCTGTTTGCATACTCCCAAGCGTTGAATTTGAAAAACCTAATTTCAAGGACTGCAGCTGCACCGAAAGAGCACCACGCCGAGGAATGAGAGTGTGTGTGTGTGTGGGGGGGGGAGGGGACGACGACATTGTTTCTATTATCTAGCGCAGAAATACTTAATGGGATTGGGCCAAATACACTGGCATAAATGTATATCTACACGTATATAGTCATACGCATGTTGATGCTTCTGCAAAGTTAAACTGCACAAGCTTTGAATACTTGTGACAATTCTACACATAACCTTTTTCACTGAAGGCACTTTAGAGTTAGAGGCCGATATGTTCTAGGTCAAGAGGCTAGATTCCTACAAAAATCACCATCTCAGGCTTTTAGCAAATACAATACATGTTTCTCTAAACAGGCTAGCCTATAGACATCTCTACAAAACAAAAGTAACTGATTGAAAAACAGCCTTAACACGTAGCATGTGCCTTACTGATATTACAGCTGCTGGTTATGCCTTAAATGCATGTTACATTTGCACTTACTTGATTGAATTGTTTTATAAATCTAACTATGAAAGTAGAAACTATTAAGTACTTTTCTATGAAATCTTAATAAGACGTTGAACCATGCCATGATTTAACAATAGGAAATATCTAAATGATGTTTCACAGTACACACAGAAGCTTCAGACATTAGCTTATATAGAAAACACACAATTAGAAATCAACAAAAAAGGATACCTACAAAGCAGCTTAAAGCTCAATTCTATATACCCTTTAAGAAAGTCCCAGGTAACAAAGTGCTTTTAGAAGAAATCAAACTTCTTGAGTTGGTCAAAATAATGGATGCTTGACTGGGAGGATTTAAAAAAGAATGTTAATCAAAATGTGGCTTCACTTAAAGAGGAACAGATTTACAGACACAGCACTGCTGGATGTTCCATCAGTAACTCCCCTTAGTGTTAAATGCAATAATACAAATATGATGTGTTTATTGTGTATGTATGTATTCATTGCTAACAGCCTATACATTTGACCTATATTTGACACGTTTTCCACACGTCACTTTTGGTATCTCCATGCTGTGTTAATGGGTTTCCCCCCCAAAACGTGTCTGATATAGGTTCTTTGATGTCTTTGATTTGCTTCTGTGAGCTCTTGATGGATTCAGTATATGTATTCCTCTTTAGGTAAAGAAAAAAACTGCTTTGAGTTTTGCCCATTTTATGTTTAACATCAGCACGCTGTCCCTGGCAGTACGTTGGAAACATCCACACAGGGATCCCTTTGCATTTTAAAACCTGAAATACCTGTGGCCCTGGCTACTGTGGTACCCTATCATCAATGGCTGTATCTGTATTTACTGTTGTGTGGGAGTCCTTTTGATCAAACTATTCTCACCACCAGAAAGATTGAGAAATGACCTTACAGTATGAGAAGTACATATTTGTTTTAACTTCTCACTATATATATGATTATACAGTTACAGTGAGTACGTTTTATAGTATTTATTTCTTCCAAAACAAGAATATGATGCGTCTTAAGTCAACAGGTTTGAAGTATATTTGTTACATTTCCACAGTATTTCTGAAACGTTGCTCTGGGTGGATTAGATCAGAGATTTATCCACAATAATTCAAAGTGCAGTGAAGTATTTCCAATGAATAAACAGTCAAACACGAGGATAGAAATACAACTCATACTCATTCATGTCTTAAAGAATACAGATTTTAAGCAAGTTTAGTGGTCTCATTAGCATTTTTTTTTTGTTATCTGTAATTATGCATTTTCTGTCAGGTTTGCATATTTGTATTTTGTTTGGGGAAAGTATTCCTGCATATTGTGTATGTCAACAAATCTGGACACAAGATGAATGTCTTTGAGTGTCATGATTAAAGATCTGAGAAATTGCATTGCGATGTAATTTAATATTCTAATTTGATTGCATGGATTTTCACACAGAAAACCATCTGGCTGAACAAGGTCATGTGCACATAAAATGAGCAAAAACTATGAATGATTTAATCCCCTGTACACAATCTGATAATACTATTTGTTTGTCAGTCAAACATCATTGTATTCTAAATGTATTCGATCACTGTATGAAACAGACATTGCTATTTAGAAAAATGGTCATATCTATTAGCAGTTTTTCAAAGGGCTTATATTTAAATAGTACCTCGACTAGTTGTACATCACCACTTCAGTATTTTTGTTCTACAGTAGGGACATTCTGTTTTACTAAGCACACAGTTCTCACATAGTACATAATGTTGGCAAGGCTGCAGGACAATGCAACGATCATGCTTTTGGCAAACTATACATTTCTTTGACTGAAGCTGATATATTACCTGTGGGGGAAAGAAGAGAATGGATATCAGCCGCAACTTAGGGAAACACTTCATGCAGATTGTTCAAATTAGCATGGCAAAACGTAGCTCTGAGTGATAAGCCTGATAAACCCGTTAAAAACTAGATGCTAAAAGTGAAATTCTATGTGTGATCTATTCTGTCTTACCCCGTCTATAAGGTCTAGGTCATTACGCAGCTGACTCTGGAGCGAGTGGAGCTTTGACAAGGGGAGCTCGTCCAGCTCTCCATAGCTACGTAGCAGCGGCGTCCCCGGGGTGCGACAGAGCGCGTCAAAGTCCCCTTGGAGCTCTTTGAGCTTGCGCTGCGTCTCCTCCCACTTCTGTTCGGCCAGCTGCCGCTCCGCCTCGGCCGTCTTCGCTTGCTCCTTTGCCTCCAGAGCGTCTTTCTGGCAAGCTTCACAGGCCTGGAACAAAGAGTTGCCATTACATACAAATCCATAAGCTAAGAGGTGTTTTAAAGGTCCCCTATTATGCTGTTTTTCATCAATATATTATGGGTCTCAGATATATACAAAACATGTCTTTGAAGTGTTTTGCTCCAAATAGCAAACAGATCATTGTAACATCCCATAATCCCCTCTGTTTCAGCCCTGTTTCAAAAGTGCTGATTCTCTGTCTTTTACTTTAGATCAGGGGTGGGGAACCTCCGGCCCCCGGGCCGTATACGGACCGCGAGACCATTTGGTACGGCCCTCGAGGTAATTTTCAAACACACGCAAAAAAGAAAAAAATTAAAGAAATTTAGACCGCAAAAGAATTAAACAAGCGAGTGCCTGTTTTTCCTGGGTTAGGTCAGGGTACTTGAACACAACACGAGCCTAACGTGTCATCACGTGGTATATGTCTCGTCTGACAGGGGTGTAGTTCTGACGGAGAGCACCAGAACGCCGCTCCGGCACTTCACAAATGTCAGTACCCATAAGGAGCCGTACACATGCCGCAGTTTTTGCGTGGCTGTGTCTTTAGTTGAAAGCCCAGTGGCGATCTGATCATCTGTCATACTGATCATACAGTCAATAACTTTGTTGTTATTAGCATCTGGTTAGCTAGCTATGCTAACGAATATAAGAAGCTTTTTCTCCAACCAGTGAGGTAAAGGGACATCTTTATATGATCATTATAGTTATACAAAAATAAGAGAATAAAGTAAACAGGTATAAAATACTATATGACAGTAAAAGAAAGTTGTTATTAATAAACAAGAATACAGTTTGAAAGGGGAGTGATTTGTAAAATATCCATAAAGAAAAAGAAAATCTGCTTCCAGTTCTGTTTCATATGGTGTTGAGAGATGTATCCATAGATCTCCTAATGTTGCTCTCAAAGTGCACCAGATTGATGCTTTTAACTTCAACATTTAAAAACAAATCTTCTTCAATCATTTGTACGGCCTTGGTTGGTTATTGGCTAATGGTTACACAAGCCAAAAAACCGTTATGACATCATAAAGTGTCCAAAATCTGATCAGCTCATTTTCAGACAGGTTTTTATATAAATGGATCAGGACAGAAAGTGAGCGAATCTTTTTTCCTGAAACTTTCCTGAAACTTTCAGAATCTCTTTACACAGAGGGGACACATGTTTATGTACAAAAGTGGATTTTGCATAATAGGTGACCTTTAAATGAGTTAGTTTACATCACTGACTTGTTTGACCTGGTGCCAGGCCTCCTCCCACTGTTTGATCTTCCTCTTGGCCTCGTCCAGGTCCCTAAAGAGCCGAGCCAGATCTGCACTGCTGGCGCTGGACGTCAGGCTGCTGAAGACTGGAGAGGGGCTCGGAGAGAAGCTGCCACTCACAAAGTCCCAAATGCTGCTGGCCCCGCCGTTCAAGCCTAGGGGAGAAGTGTTAAAAGTCATAAGAACAAGCAGTGGATCGTTGTTTACAATCATTTTGACCAATGTCTAATTGGTAGTGATTTGGTTCAGAGAAACGGCATCTTTCCAGTAACTCTAAAAGCCATATTTCTCAGCGTAACTTCTGGAAGGTTGAAAAGAATGCTCCATACTTAATTACGCTAAAATATGAATATTATTGAACAAAAAAAAGAGGTTAAATATTGCAGAAAGATAATAAAATAAGAACTGTAATAACCTCAAAGTAAATTCAGATGAGAGATTGCTCAAAACAATAACATAATAAATAGATTGATAATTATAAAGAATTAATACCGACACCACTGCAAAAAATTTTAGCAATAAGAGAAAGAAAAAATGTAGTGAAGTAAACTAGAAAAGTTAATAACATGAGAATAAAACAGTAAAAAAAAAAACATTTATAAAGTGTTATGCCAACACAAGTGCAAAATAGTATTTCATAGTAAGGTATAATTAATATAATAAGAAAACTAGAATAAAAAGTAATATTTTGCATGATAAAAAGAGTTTTGTAAATAGTATTGAAAACGTTATATTGCACATGATTTGGATATTACTTTTGTTCTCACTGTGTAAGAGTTCAACTATTTCCATTGCCATATAAGACTGAGATTAAAATCTGAAGTCGAATGCTTCCCAGCTCACGCGGAGCAAAATGCCTGATGCTATCGGCTCACCTAAAGAATTCTGGGAAGAGGAGGTGGGAGTTCCCAGCAGGCCGTGCTCCAGCTTGGCTAACATGTTGGAAGGGTGATTCTGCTGCGATATGGAGGCAGCGAGCAGGGACTGCGACAGAGACTGAGACAGGGAGCTGAGCGGGGAGGTGGAGAGCGAGGAGGACGAGTTAAAGGAGGAAGATCGGCCCAGAGAGCCGGGAATGTTCACAGGAGCGGAGCCACCCAGCATCCTCTGTCCTGTGGGGACAACCGAAACACTGCTGTTACATTTTTATAATTTACAGGCATATCATGAGACCACTTGTGTTGGACAGCTGAATGTACTTTAACAAACTGCGTGTCCTTACTTGCAAATCCCATACTGTTGTCCTGCTCCTCCAGCTCCTTATCCAGAGATGCAACATTTATGTCACAGAAGTTCAGGTCCAGAGCGGATCCTAAGGGGAAACGGAAAACATCTGGCTGACATTTTGAACAAAAATGTGGCAGTACGCAGCTCAGTGGCTTCACAGAGGACTTAACAAACACATACCTATGACTGACTCCACAGTGTTGCTCCCCGGATAGAAAGGAGTGGCTTTTGCATTCATGGTTGATAAGGTGGTGGGTGAAGAACTATTTGAGCCGATGCTGGAGGCCAAGCTGGACGTTATGCTGGAGGTGAAGCTTGTTGCCAAAGGGTTCACAGCAGAGAATACAGTATGTTGTGTCTGAAAGGGAGGCACAGATGGCATGTTTCATTTCTATTGTTGATTAAATAGAGAAGTTGCACATCTCTGTCTGAAACCAGAGGCCCAGGTGTGGGAGAGAAACTTCATTTACATGCACAAAAACCTATATAAAAAAACAAAAGCATTTTTGGCCCTTTTAAAATCTCCCAGCAACTTTCATTGTGTGATGTTTCCATGTCAAAGGGATCCTTGTCACATCAAAATGTAGCACAATTAAAAATGACTAGGAGCTTTTAATAGTATTTTAAATAAATAATGATGTTATATTTAATTTCATCACTGTCAAAAAAGAAAATCCAAACCTGTTTTTCTTGGTCCATCATTTTCTGATCCACCTGCCCCTTGTTCTTAATCTAAAAGTGATAAATAACACAAAACAGAACATTTTTAGTGACAAAATGCTAAAATAAATAATATCAAATAAAGGCAAGCTGGAACTGCAATAAATCACAACATCACAAACTTTGGATTTGCAATGATTCTTGCTATATTCAAACATATTGCTTTTGATTACAGTGTGCCTCGACGTGGGCCACATTCTTTTATAATAACAGTGAAGCAGAGACAAGTGAAATCAACCTAAGGGCACTTCAGAGTGTAGTGTTACAAATGACAGATGGTTTTTCCAGCCTGATTGCAAGCTTGAAGTTCTCAGATGTTGACTAAATGTGACATTGATTACAAAAAACACGCAACAAGGCTCAACAATGTGTTTTTGTCAAGTCACCCATGTATAAGGTACTCAATGCTCTCAAGTGACAAGATACATTGCATTTTTTTTTTATAAAGAACAACCGACACATTAGATGATCTAATACCTGTAAATGAAATGTCTCAAAGTGATACAATTCAAAATGACATGAATGATAAATGACTAAATGAATTAAAAGAGGAATGGCAGTGATGCATTAAAGCCCTGAGTTGTGTCTGTGTGTTAGAGTCTTCCTAAAGCTGAAGAGTCTGTATACCTGGTCCTCTCGTTCAAAGCCCGGAGCTTTGGGATAGTTAGACGTCAGAGATGAGACACTGGATGTGGTGGACTCTGAACATAAACTACTATTAGTAAAGGGTTTGGGCCTGCTGATGGATCCCACTGGGGATAACAAACTGTCGCTTCCTGAGCTTGGAGTTACAGTCGAGCTATTAGAACATGAAACCTGAGAAAGAGAAGTGCACATGGTCTTAATGAAAGGATGATCAAAGTATGGATAAATAAATAAAACCAATATTCTAAATGGATCTATTTTAGAGTGAGAATGTAACAATGAATAGCTTAGAATGATGGTCTTACAATCAAAAGCAATGACGTAACGGAAAATAATAATGACAAATCAATGTATGCATGCCAGCAGAAAGATGAGAGCATGGTAAACAACATATCAACAGCTAAATGGATGAATTGTTATTTAGGGATTAGTGTTCTCTTGAAATACAACACCATGTATGTGTTTATTCTGTAGAATTCCCTTTTGAAGTCGTGACATAGCAACGGGAAAACATACACTTCCTACTTGTCCGTTGCTGCTGGTTGCGCTGCCCCCGCTGTTCCACTCGCTGACGGGACACTCCGAGTACTGAGAGCTGAGCTGGGACTGAGAGCTGGACTGCATCACTGTCAGCAGGGAGCTCATGGTCTCCTCTGTGGAGGGGATTCCTGACGGGAGTACAATTAATGATTCAATGAAAATAGCATAAACAACGAGATGTAACAGCCACATTCCCACAACATTGCTTGTTGCTAAGGCTGCATGACAAATGAAAAATGCTAACGTAGCCGAATATCGCAATAACGATTTGATTTGCTTTTCTTTTTAACTGATATTGAAGTTGACTTTTTTTAGCCTTGTATTGAGGATAATGCTAAAATACAAAAAGAAAATATTACAGCTTGAAAATTTAACTGAACATAAAAGGCCCCAATAAAGACTATTTCCTTACTTATTCTCTCTTTCAACTAACTAAGAAAGAGTCTTTTACAATACCTATTAACCTTTACCTATTTGTTTAAAATGTTAACTGTGCATATTTGAACATTTGGGGAAACCAAGACAATTATCTGACAGGTGTGTATATATATATTAACTCATTTGTTTTCAAGAGTACTGTGACAGTATTTAGATACACTTTGACTTACTTTCTACGTGTGCAAACGCACAAAACGGTCCTCTGGGACAGTATCCGGTTTGTCGCATATCATTGCATTTGGTTGATTTGTAGATCTGAGAGGAAGAAAAACAGACAAATCAAAAAGACAATGAGTTACAAAGTTCAGATTTTGGTCTTGGAAAAACTAGTCAGTCACAACGATACTATCAAAACAATAAAACCTCATAAATACAATATCTTAAAACTGCAGGATTACACAGTCAAGAACACATTTCTCACACTACACATTATTTAATTATGGTTGTTGTGGTAACTAGTCCATTTTAAGGCTTGAGTATTGTAATACAAATGTATTATTGTAAAAGGAAAGCTATGATCATCTTGCAATCTACTTATTTATCTAAATAGTTATCACCGCAATAAACCGTATTTTATTTAGTCTTATTGTACAATATTTGACTTCCTATTCTTTTCTTGTATAAATCATATTCTATTTACATGTATATAGACTTCTTCTTATTTTATTATATATGTTGCATCGTTGGAGGAGTCAGAAGAATTGAATTGCCGTTTCTACACTGTAGCGTATGTGCATATAAACCCTTTGAATTGATGTATGTTATTTTAAGAAGTATCCCTCACCTCTGGGTGGAACTGCTGTTCTGTGCGAGAGTGGCAGTACTGGCAGCTGTCTGCACTGTCACACTTTGAGGGCTCGCCCCATTCATCCCCATGTTTCACATTAGGGCAGGGAGTCGACCTGCATCACAGTGAGAACATTTAACACGTTACAATCATACAACTCAACACCCTGTTTCTTATTCTAAAACTCTGTCATCATAACTTACCTATATTTGAACTTTCTTGGATTTCGTCTTCGATCTCTACTGTTGTGGTAGTGGGGGCAAGCGTAGCCCTGCCTGCATAGTCGGGGGGGGCTTTGTACACTGATCTGTTTTATAGTTGGCTAAAACAAAGTTGGTATCTGCAAAAACGGCAAAAAGAATTGATGTCATTTTATTTGTATTTTGCAGGAAGTGTGTTACCTGTTGCATGAGCTGGTTATCATGAGCGGGGGGGTAACTCACCTTGCCAGCGGGGGTCTTCTGTCAGAGTTTTCTCAATCATAGCTTGGCTGGCTAACACTCCTGGCTGCAGGTCAGGAATACCTTCCCCAGATCCCAGCTGTCCGTTCTGAAGGGCTTCTTGTGCTTGAATCTCTCTGTGCACATAAAACCAAGGTTAGTTCCATCCCTAATGCTTTGAAAAGTATACAAGGTTGTCGTTTAAAAATAATTAAATATAGTATTATGCTAAATGACTGAATCACTGGCCTCTCTTAATGTTTATCATAACACTGTACATTTATACAAGTGATAATTGCTGAAACTAATTCTTAAAATACATTGAGACACTTTATACTGGGTCATCATCAGAGGATTAGGGCCACATGAGACCTTTTTAGGAGATCTGAACAAAAGTGAATGTTTTTTGGAGTCAAAATTGTGATTCTCAAAATGTTGGTCAGATCAAAAAGATATTTACATGTGGCCCTTAATCTCTTCCATAACCATCCAGTATAAAAAAAACGGGGGTGGGTCAATAAGGGATGGGCACAGGATGATAATTGTTTTTATTAACGGTTTTTAAGGAGAAAAGGTTTTATTACTACTGTTGAGTGTTTGTTTTTTTTTTATGTTTGCTTAGTTTGGCAGCTTTGAATGCATGTCTTTTCTTTGTGAAATGTTGTGTTTGTGTGCCACCTCTGTGGTACACTAAAGTTTATCTTCAATATAATAAGTTACAGGCAGATGTACCAGCATTTGTTTTGGTATCAGATAACCTCACTCAGACTCTTTCAGCAGCACAGAGCTGAATGCAGCTAATTGTCTTTTTTATGTTCACTGAACCAAGCCCTTCAAACAGTGTTAAATCCATTAAACCTTTATACTACGGACATTCTGTTGGCATTACATCCAAGTTGGCTGATTTGTCTGTTCCTTTGTGAGTTCAAAGTTTGGCAGGAAATAGAGAGGCCACTATTTGCTTTATATGTCACCTGATATCATAGACTGGAGGTCGGAGATCATGTGGCCCGTGAGCGAAAGCACAGTGGAGGCCATTCTTCACACAATGCCCTCGAGCGTCTGTCTCATGGATGCAAGTGCCGGTCTTGTAATAGCGTAGATGGTACTTTCGCTCTGTGTCGCCCGTGGTCCGGTGCAAATAAGGACAGCTAAGGAAGCAAGGAAACAACATTTTAATATTTCAGCGGATGAAAAAGAATAAAACACTTAACAATGCTCCTAAAAGTACTAGATTCTTCTAGTACATATAGCATCTTTCATGTGAAAACACAATAGCTAAGCACTGCACAGTCCAATCAAAATAGAGTTGTTATTATTATATTGAATTGTAATTATAAATAGGGTTCTCTTATGGCTGCACACATTTTTAAACAGATTCTACTGCATTTGCAGGGCTGACACACTAGCAACGCCTCAAGAAATGTATGGCCAATAAGCCTCTTGAATAAACAATTTTTTTTCCTTTCTTGAATAGCAACAGTTGCTATGGCAACACAAAAGGTTATACAAAAATAGCTGCCATTGGCAGAGGAGGAACTGTAAGGATGGCAGACGTTCATTTTCCATTAGTCCAATAATCATAGTTCTTTTTGTTTTTTATGTTGGGCTCAATTATATGCTGTGCTATTTGTAATTCCTGGTCACACAGAGAGAACTGCAGCCTCCTTAGGAGAGATACCATATATTGTTTCAGTTGCGTTCATATTTATTATACTTATAATAATGCTTGACCTCTTTTATAGTGAATTGATTGCCTGTCACTCTGATGCAAATGATGCCATGTGCAGAACAAAGGAGACTATGTGGTCACACATAAGAAAAAAGGAAACTAAATTGGTGTCTTATTGTAGGGGAGAACATTTTCGTGCATCAAATCACATGCTGCGATTAGAAGAAAAAATACTGATACTGATATTGTGATACTGATCACAAAGCAACAACCAAATATGGCTAAACAGCATATCTAGCACTCCTCACTTTAGTAAATAATACACCCATTTGTATATCTTATCTTTAGAGCACTCTATGATTATAACTGATACAGTCCTCTCTTGGCTGGAGCTGATCTGCACATATGCCATTAAAACACACAGAGCTTGTTTATGCTGCAGTGTTACTAAAGACACAGCAAGCTGATATAATTAACATGTTTTAATCTATAATTTTCAATCCAAATTCACAAACACATGCTCCTAGTCCCCTGCAAACATCTCTGCAGAACAGTTAGCTTCATTGTAGAACTGCAAAGTAGAGTTTAAAGTATTTTTTTTGTAAATTGTCATTGCAATGTCAACCTGTGCTATTAACATGTCAGGAAAGACTAACTGTTACACTTGAATATAGTGTACACTACATTCTGTCTGTAGGCGCTACTTTCAAGCAATCTGCAGTATTTAGGGCGTATAATGAGAGCAGCAAAAGGGCAGAACGTAGTACACTTTATCATCTGTTTTTATAGCAAGAAGAAAATCAAAAACATAAATGTTTTGATAATTTATTTACCAGTTATTTTAATTAAAAACATCAGAATTTAAAGAAAAAGCAGCTTCTCAAATATGGAAATTTTCCGTTTCTTTGTTTTAAATAATTGTAAACTGAATATAGTTGTCATTTAAAGATATCACTTTGGACTATGACTAAACTGGAGAGAACATATGTTGCTACTATTTCATAGACAAAACTATTGATAGGGAAAATAGTAAGCAGATTAACCAGTAATGATAATAAGATTATTATTTGCAGACCTAATGGCTTCGTCTTGTGCATCCCTATTAAATTAATAACACATTTCCCTTGATCTTTATACAATAACACAACAAAAAGTCATAAAGTTTCCTTACGTTTTTTTCAAAGACTGTCAAACTCACTATATAAAACAAATAAGTAAACAATATATATATCCATCCACACAGTTCTTCCCAATTAAGACACATCACGACCCAAACCTATTTAAGGGACACCTGAACGTTTTTATACTTTATGACATTTCCTGTGCTTTGAATGTTTTAGTGGCATCAGTTTGATAACATATTTTTCCCTAAAGCTACAGAGGTTCTCATCCCAAACATGGCAGCAAAACATCAGTCAACAGCTGCATCACAACGCACTGAAGCTTTCATGAAAAGACTGAAACTTACTCATCTCCATCCGGGCAGATGCCTGTGGTCTCGTCGTATTTGGTGCAGTACACGTCAGGGCTGTAGTTAAAAGTTCCGTCTCTTCTTCTGATAGGTCTTCTTCTCCGCTGGTTGAGAAAATGCCAGTGAAAACACGTAAAGGGTCTGTGCTGCGTACACTTGTGCTGAAGGAACAACGGGCACTGCTCTGTCCTGAACTCCTTCAAGTATCTGAAACAAGGAAAAGCAAAATAAACAGTCTCAGGAACCGCGTTCTGAAATGAACACTCATTATGAAATAAGTCAAAAGCGAGGAAAAAGTTTAAAGACAGTGTTGTGTCGTGGTATGCAGCTAGTGTTGTAGCCTACTGTATATTTTTGGGTCACTAACGTAAGCTTGCTATTCAGAGAGTAAACTACGTTAGTGTTTGGACGTAACGCTTGTTGAATGTCCATGAGCGTACGTCTATAAATGTGCGTAGCAAGGGGGAACTCAAAATAAGGCCGAGCTATTTACAAGCAGACTGGTTAGCGAGTTCCTGGCTAATCATTTAGCAGACCAAGTTGACGGTTTAACATTCAAAAGATTATTAAAAACAGTTCCCCAACTCGGTAAAACAGTTATAAACGATTCCGTTAACGCATGGCTTGACACTTAAGCGATTTAAGACGTCCGTGTATCCTACATTAGGGCTGGTGTCGTTAGCGTGCAGTCGCTGTTTGCTATGTGACGTTAGGTAGTCACAAAGCCTGGAAAAGCACCATGTTTTCAACGCACACATAAGAGTTGAGGAATGCGAGAAATGCAAACGCGCATATGTGCACGTGCAAAAAACATTTTCTTCAACGAGCCATGTTGTTGTTTATTTGCAGTAGCTTTACTCACGTATAGTGGGTAGGTTTCTCGGTTTGAGGAGACGCATTGGCCGCCGTTTTCGAAACCGACGGCATTTTCAGTCAAAACAATGAATTGCGCATGCGCTCGGATCTGTTGATCGCGTCCATGCATGCACGTCCGCACACACTGCATCAGAGCAGCAGGGGGCGCTGAAAACAACACCGTGTTTATGTCCTCTGGCTTGTTGGAGCTGATTACTTTATCTCTATCAATACACATTCTGCCTGAATGGACTGTTATATTTAATTATAGTACAATTAAGGAATATAATAATACCCCCATTTATTTCAAACACTTGAATTACTTGAACATAAACTGTTAGACTGTAAACTCCAATACATGTTTGTCCGGTCTTGAGGTTATCAGGCTTAATCTGTCATTTCCTCTTCCTCAAATGATTGTCTTTTTATAGCATACTTTAGAAAACTCATCACTTGTGAAAGTCACAGCTCTATTTAAGGTGAAGGTGTCCGTGGGGGGGGGGATGTAAAATCTTTTCAGGTTTTCTCTTTTAGATGCTTCTCTATGTAGCTCATTACACTGTGATTAGATTTCTCTTTTCTTTGTGTGTTTCATTTGTTTTTATGTCAGTGATTATGCTTAGTTTAAATATAACAGATTTTTAAAGAGTAAAATCATTTCACATTATTTAATAATGCATGTGTTTATAATACAAGTCTTTAAGTATTTTTAGGTGATCTATTTTTGGAAAGTATGTAATAGGAGTGTTTTTTTAAACGGAAATGCAGGTTTGGCAGACAATGCACAGTAGATACTTCAATCAGCTGCCTCCAAATAAAAGTTTCCAAATGTCTGTTTTAAGAATGTGGTTGCTTTTACAAAATATTGGCAATAAGCTATTTGATGGGTTCTGCCCGAAGCCTTTAAAAACCAATCCTATTTCTTCCCCTCTGTATCTGGGAAGCTAATTATTCTATTCAGATCTTTTTTCCTGCAAGGGATTTTAATTTACAAATGCAATTATACGTTTGATCCATTATTCAGCTGCTGAGGTCCTCCGGGTGCACAGCCTTATAATTATGCATAAACCCTGGACTGTCCTGTTGTAATTACTTTGACATGCCCCACCCCCACTCAGCTTACAGTTGGATGTCCAGTAACGTTCTTAGGCAGGAAACATTTTGTCTAATCACTTTAAGTAGAATTATATTACATTTGGTTTGTTTTGGTGTGCACAATTAGATGCCAGCTCATTAGATACAATTCTACAATATCATTTGTATGCGATACAAAAGCTCTGCTATGAATTGTTAAATTTTTCGGAAGATGTTTTCTATCTTCATTAACATGAATTAAAGTGACAAAATATAGAACAACAACAATCTGCCTTTATCCATACCTCTCTGAACAAAAACTGAACATCAAGACTTGTGTTTTTTTCCCCTCACTTTATGCATTATCCCATTGTTTTGCACCTAGTAAAGTGGCCACTGTGTATATTTGCATCTGCACAAAGTATATTTGTACTTATATTAGTTGAAGCAACAGCAGCTGGTGTACAATGAGCATACATGTACCCATAAGCCTGCTAAACTACTCTATTTGTAATAGTTTTACCAACAACCTTTTCATCTAAGTCAGGACAAAAGCTTGAGGTTTTGTTATCATCATCATTTTGCTGCTTATCTGCCCAATATTTTTGCATGAATTACGTAATTATTTAGCATTATTTTCTTTAACCAGATAGATTTGTATCCCGTATCATCCAGAGGAAGTAATGTGAGCGAGGGGAAAAGTCACACCCTCTCTACTCTCTGTGACGTCAGCCATCACAAACCTTTGACCTCACTCAGAGCTCTCAGCTGTACACACAGTCCACTGTCAACCTCTTCTCACAGCATCTCCAGTGTGTGTGTCTGTGTGTGTGTGTGTGTGTGTGTGTATGTGTGACGTAAAGATGATCCTTTGTCTCTTACACCTTGTCGGACTCGGATGGCCTCTAGGTGTTGCTTCTTTATCTCAGAGAACATGACAGCTCTCATTGGATTACTACTTCCCTGTCTTCCTGTTTGGTGTACCGTCTGGGGCCCTGATAGAGACACGTGCTGTATTCAGACTGCACTCAATCCAAATAGAAAAAAATACATATTATCTTTGTCAAGGTTTAAAAACTGTGAAAACATGCTGAATGCTTTCCTGCATGATAAGGATATGGGACACAGAATCTTTAGCATCATGTACCACAACAAGTTTGCCTCTCATAAACAATCACTTAAACAATCCTCAGCGCTGCTTTCCCAGGCTGCCGGAACTGTTACAGCTGGAATAACAGTTTGTGGTTTGGACTCCTGTTTTTCCAAGTCACGCCATTATCTGCCTCATGCACAAACACAAACTCAGGCCTACCGCAGACTGGCTATACACCTTTTTATATGTTGATGCACAATGCTCAATCTGAGCGTGATACAGTTCTGTGGACTCTTTTATGGTTGTGACATAATACATCCACCTGTTGAGGTCAATGCACATAAACCACATGCTGTGTCGGTTTTCTAAGAATATAAAAGAGAGATCATATTCTGTAAACCCTGTTGTGATTCAAGAAATGCACATGAATCTGAGCACAATTTGACATAAGAAAGCACTGTAATATAGTAGAAAACAGGAATTTATAATGTTCAATAAACAATTTGAGGTTGTTAAACTTTATAGCAGGTTTCATTAAAGCCTCTGATGCGAGACCATTTCAAATGTTTAAGCTGCACCTGTGTAGCCGGGTAATCTGCATTACATTAACCTCTGATCAATGTGCTAATGAGCATCTTTGTTCTGTCAAAAGCATTTCATCAAACTGTACATGATGATGGGAGAATCCACGCGTTCCAAAGTTGGCCTTTTGGTATTTGATGTCTCATGTCATATGTTAGATTTGAGTTTTTCTGTTAATTTGATAATAAACAATTAGTGGAATCCGTTTACAGATAGGAGAACAAGCCACACATGTGAAGATGAAGTATTTTTCGAGGTGGCTTTTTCTGTCACAGGCCCATGTCTGGTTGGCTATTGCAGTTTATCAGTGTTATATGCTTTAAATAAGAACAAAAAATGGAAGCAGCTTCACGTTGTCAACAGTGAAGGATGTGTTTAGGCATTATGATCCCCTCCTGGCAAGGCAACACCTGCTTCTTTTCTTTATCATCATGCTAACAGGAGCTGACAAGTGTGGTAATATCTTATTCCATAATATAGATGACCTCAGACATCAGATTCTGGACACATTCAAAGACGGGCTGTGACCAAAATGCTAAAAATAACACATACAAAAATAAAGGGTGTAGCTACGATACCCTTTATTTAATGTGTGTAATACTCGAAGACATACACAAAGACTTCCCTTTTATATTCCTGGAAAAGTGGGATATTTTCTTTATTTCTAAAAAATAAAACACATTTTTGTGCATTTTCCATCGCATGTTTAGCTTTACAAAAGGACATTTCCGCTCAACAGAAGAAAAACAGACAGGGGTACAGTTATATTTACAGTGAAAAGAAAGTCACTGCTACTTGTTGCCTCTTTGGGTTTTTTCTACCTGTAATGCTATTTTGTCAATGATGGTGTTCATGGTGTGTATTACATTAGATATTATTGTCATTTTCAATTAATCTGCTGATTATTTGGAAACATGTCCATCCCTATCCCTCTAATTTCAAGGTGATGTATGTCAATATTTTGTTTGGTCAGTCCAAAATCTAAATATATTGCCTTTTTATATAAAATGAAACACATTTGAGAGGCTAAAAACATCATTTTTTGCCATTTTTGCATGCAAACCAACTTTAACCATTAACCAATTATCAAAGACGTTGGTGATTATTTTTTCTGAAAATAAGTCGACTAATGGTTGCAGCCCTAGGTTATACATCATTATACAGGTGTTTCCATGTGGGGTTTAACTGAAGTGACCCCTGCCTTGCCTGATTAGATTTGATGTGATGCATTATCTCCTCTGTGCATGCCGAGCTGCAGCCTTTGCTATTGCTGCAGGTAATCCCACACAGAGCCAGAACATGTTATTTTGCATGACAGATCACTTATTATTGTCTGTCTTACACAAAAGCTGTTGTCCTCTGACACTCATCTATCCATCGCCTTAAAAGGACAGAAGCTGACATTTTGCTCCTTTCCATCAAACACACTTTTTGAAGAAAAAAACACACACCGAAAACAATAAGTACATAATTAAACATGTATGAAAACATGAACATAGCTTCAAGTACCTTATGTGCATTGTACTGTAATCTACATGAGTCATTCCCATTCTTACTTGAGTGTATATTTTTGGTGCTTTTGTGTTTTTGTTCAGAAAGTGAGCAGGTTAACTGAGAGGCAGACCAGATGAAGAAAGCTGAGGTTATTTTTCACACTGGGTGAAATGTTTGAGTTTTTAGCACACCTTGTGAGTTTCTTGTCCCTCTTCCTATCAGTCACACCTCTGACACCACGGTCCTGACAGGGAGGTGTAGATCGAGGGTGTGGTGGCAGAAGCGGTTCACCACTGACCAGCTGGCCTTCTGCTTAACGAAGAGCCGCAGCTTGTCCCTGAACGTCTCTCCTAGAAAGCTGTAGATAATGGGGTTGAGGCAGCTGTTGGAGAAAGCTGCCAGGTTAACAATGTGTCCTGTGAGCGGGTAGTCGTGCCACAGGGTGGTAGCTGTCTTCTGGGCGGGGTCCGCCGTGCCCTGCAGGAGCTGGATGCTGATGAAGACGTTCTCCGGCAGCCAGCAGATGAAGAACACCAGAACCACCACCACGATCATGCGCAGGGCCTTCTGCCGCCTGGGCCACAGTCCTCGGTGCTTCTGCGCCCTCATGAGGATTCGCCCGATCAGAGAGTAGCAGAGACCAATGATGGTGAAGGGCACCAAAAAGCCGATGGTGACCTCCAGCCACTGGATCTCCAAGACGTTGGCGAAGCAGAAGTGCACCTCGCCCCTGTGCTGCGTCTGCACGATGGTGAAGGGCAGCAGCGTGGCCAAGATGGACGCCATCCAGATGAGGCCGCAGCTGAGCTTGGCGTGCTGCATAGTTCTCAGAGGGCTGCTGCTTATGGAGCTAGCTATGGCAATGTATCGGTCAACGCTCATCCATGTGAGGAAGAAGATGCTGCTGTACATGTTGACCTGCAGGAACAGCGACATGAAGGTGCAGAGGACGGCGTAGTCGTAGTATTTCTCGTTCAGATTGAAGACCTCGATGAGGGAGTCAGCCACCAGGATGAGGTCGGCTGCAGCCAGGTTGACAAAGTAAAGGTCGGGGATGGTCATCTTCTCTCTGTGGTTCAGGTTCACCACCAGGATTAAGATGTTGCCGATAAATCCAATAGGAAAGAGGAGGATGGTGTACAGGCAGGACAGGAAGAGGCCGATGGTGTAAGATCGGTTTGAGTCTTCGGTCAAATCTGTCGCGTTGTACTCATATGAAGTGTTCACTGTGGCGTTAACGTATATCGAGACCAGAGAGGTTGTCTGCACTTCCATACTGACTGTGATGGGACTGTCTTGAATCATTGCCCACATGTAAGTCCCCTGTTGATGCTACATCATTAGACCCTGTTCCTTCCCAGTGATGTCTCTTTACAGGGTGAATCATCTATGCAGCGTTTGCATGCTGACAGAAGTCAGGTGAGTGGAGCAAAAAAAGTTACAGTTTCCTTGACCTCATGTTGACATCAAGGTTCGTCCACACATAGATTCCAGACACGAAATAAAAGCACCTCCATGTCTTAAAATGGCCTTCGTAACCCGACTCCTCCTTTGAGTCATCCGATTTGTCCATCCAAGTACGTGAGCATCTTTATTCAGCGAGCCTCGGCCAGAGACGCTATTGCTGTGACACCTGAGCTGTGGAGAGAAGGAAAGAAAATCAGAACATGACAGACAATTAGGAGCACAGACTTGGAAAAAGCAGCAATTCTAAATAAGAACAACTACAAGGTATAGCATTTTTTTTTAAATAAAACACACCCCTTAGATGAAGAAGACACCAGTCCACTTGGAAAGAAGAAGTTTAAAGGTGTCTGAAATAAATGGCAGACATAAGTTAGCACATTAACATTCACGCTTCAGACTTAAACAGATGCATTGAAATCCTCCTTAGAAATCCTTGGCCAATCACAGCTGCAGAGATGGTTCGTCCAGACTCAATGACTTTGAATTGGTGACATATATTTTCATTAAAATTGAACAAACCTCTGTGTTTGGAAGGTTCCAGTCCAGACACATCAATCTCAGTTATATATTACATCATATAACATCTTTGTTCTATATTAACTGCAATAGTTTTACGTTGCTTACTATCTCTTCATTTGTCGAAGAATTTCAGGCTCTGGATTTCTGACTTTCCCCAGGGATAGGAAAGACGACTACAATGTTAGGCAAACGGGACCTTTGGGAAACATGCACAGCCCTAAGGGTTTTATTTCCTCCAGAGGAAACCTCCTGCAATATGAATGCATTCTTAACAACATAGTCTTCACAGAAGTAATTCAGCACACGGAAGACACATGTGATTATAGGCTAAACTCTTACAAAGAGAACAATTCAATAAAGGAATAAGCATCACACAACCCTTCCTATATGTTGTATCAATATATAGTGAAATATTTCTCTAATTAAACAAATGATTATTTTTCTTTAATATCCAGGATATTAAAGAAATCTCATTGAAATAATATTGTAATGTTTTTTTCTTCTGAGATTGTTTAGATAGTTCCCACCATAATTAGTGAGACCTGACAGTATGGGAAAGTGCTCTCCAGGAAATTAAAAACAAAGCCACTTCAGACATTTAACGGAGCAGAAGCTACGGCTTTAAAAAAAGCTAGTTACAATAAACTCATTATGCGACAGAATTACAGAGACACTAACATTTAAATGAACTGTAAATGAACAAATGCATGCAGTTAGAGAAAGACCTTACATGTTCAAACTTGAAAATGACCACAAACAATAGCAGAGATGTCAAAAGCAGCACTTACTTTTTGAATTGTGGGGTTTGTTGCTCCTCCATGCTGGTCTGGTACAGAAGTCGGAGAGCCACAGATTTGTAAAATCCCATGTCCGGGCTTCTCTTCTGCACCACCTGCTGTTTGGCCCAACCCTGAGAGGAGAGGAGGGCGGGGGGGGGGGGGGAGGCGGAGAGGCAAGTGATGATGTGTCAGCCATGGTTTGTCACCACGCTTCATCACATTACCTTCACTTTTTGTTCCCCAGTTTGTGATTACAGGTGAGCACTGAGCACCTACAAAAAAGAAAGGGGCAGCAGATTTGTCTTTTTTTGTTTTTTGTTTTGGACTTTTTCTTTTTTAATGGATAAAAGAGACATAGAGAAAGTAGTATGGACTGTATATATACTAGGTTGCTATACCAAGAGAGCTGATTTGACCATAACATGAAAGTTTGGGCAGCAGATAAGAAGTTTTACCTTGACCAGGCAGTGTTGTTATGGAAACCACTTATATTTCCTGCAGTATTTGTTCACCTGGGTTGTAGCTCTTAGTCCGAAGTTCCGTGTAAACACACCCCATATGACCTTTCTTAGTTTTTCCATCAACTTGTTTGTGAAATAGTGTACCCACTGATCTGCATCGATTATTGATTCCCCCACAAAACAGAAGACACTGACCCTTTGCTTATTTACTGTTCATTCTCAATACTGAAATTACATTCAGATGAGGCTTAGAAAACTGTGAGCCTTCATGCTCAATAAAGAGGAAACAGAACAGACTGCTAGCTCCTGGAAAAAGACTAACATTTACATAATTTAAACTAATCTATAAGACCAAACTGTGGCTATGGAGACCTGTTTGATGTGTTGTTGGATAGTGTTTCCTTAACAGCCTTGAGATGCCTGCAATAATTACAGATACACAAAAACCATCTGCTGCAGAGCTATTTATATATTGATATTGAACAGACAGCATCAGAGAGAAGTATATTGATGCTGATTTGATTGGAATCGTCACAATATGCAGTGGAACATTCTATTTTGAGTCCTTTTTGGATAAAATCACACAAGGGGTTGTGACAACAAGAATTTCAGATTACCCCCTTAAGACAGAATGTGACTGAGGTCTTCGCATGGTGGGAAAGTCACTGCATCCTCAGACAGCCGGAGGGGAGAGAGGTCGAGGCAGAGGCTGGATCATTGCTGGCAGGTTTGGGGTTGCAGCTCCTTTGGCAGTGCTGTGCCTCGGCTCCAAGGCTTTATATGAGATACAAACAACAACAGAGAGAGAGTGCACTGGAGGAGGTTGAAGACAGGGCAGGTCACTCTCATGTTTGGCTATGTGAACAGAGTCTTTGGTGTGGGGTACAGTTCAGTATTTATAGAGACAGTTTAAAAAGTTTGAAAGTCAAGTGATGCCTGCCAGTTAGTTCAAGTGCTACACACGACATACTGCACCTGCTTCTGTATATATTCATTGAACCCTTTAAATGTAAATGTCACTGCCCTAGTTAGTACGTCACAATTTTGTTTAGGTTATCTAAAGAGGCTCTATAATGATTTAAGGGGGTTTTCCCTTTCCTGTACTGTGTTATATACAGTTTTTGGTGCATGTAAATGGTCTCCAAAGGATATAATCCCAAAGTTCCCTCCAGAGGGAGTTTCTCTCCTACCCACTCCCCCCCCTGGACTGATACGCCTCCATTGGAGTCTTTTGTTTACTTCTGCAACATAGTGACGTCATGTAACACGCATGCTTTTATTGGCTAGCACTCCAACACAATGTACGTGAGAGGCTGGACATCTCTAAGAGGTTGACCAATCATAAGAGCCGGCCAGCTAACCAATCAGAGCAGACTGGGTTCTGGTTTCAGACAGAGGGTGAAAAGAGGTGCTGCAGCACAGGCAGTATGAGATCAGGCAATACAAAAGAAAAAGAAGAAATTACATACACATCACGTAAGTTCATGGAAATCAGAAACGCCACATCAATAAGGTAAGAAAAGAACACCTGCATGCACCAAGTTATACTTTGGTAAAAACTCAAAAGTATTTAGGAAGTGTACTTAAATGACAAAAAGTAATGATTTTCTTGTGGACGTTTTGCTAGTCCTATAATGCTCTCAGTATCTCACAGGTATTCAGGTGACAAGAATATTCACACTCTCAGGACAAGCAACATATGCAGAACTAAATATATCCCACAGAAGGGCAAGGACAATTCAGGGAGGAGACTGTGAGTGTGAAAAGATCAAAGTATCTGCATGGAAACCATAATAGTTTGAGGCTGACAGTTGGAATCAGTGAGAAATTAAAGGCAGCATCTGACAGATGGGTCAAACGCTGGCCTCATCTTGGAGAAGTGCACTTGCTGTTTGACTGCAGATGGCCACATGTCTTGGAGAATCAGATGTCGGTATGTTACAACGGAGCAGCAGTGATGGTTTGAAGGAGCAGGAAGGGTCAACACGGCAGCTGGTAGCCCTGCTGCCACAAACATGTCTGGGTTTCTGACAAAAGAGGGGACAGCAGAGAAATCTATCTGGGGTGAGGAGAACAACATTGTCCGTATAGAAAGTTGATTCAGCAGCTGAGATGAAGAAGGAAGGGCTCTGAGGTCATATAGCAAGCCAAATATGTGATTTTCTCTGAGCTACCTTAAATCAGTTATTCAGTCCGCATGACTTCTCACAGATAACGGGAAGGTAGGGATGTGGCGGTCAGTCTAGTGGAACGGTGCTGGAGTGTGTCAAAGATAGAAGGGAAGGACGGAAGAAAGGAATGAAGGAGGGAAGGAAGGAAGGAGAGCATATTTTTATTGAATATTGATGATGTAAAATTAGTAAATAAAGTAAGGATTACTCAAACGCAGTGTTCAAGCAGAGCACCAATAGATACATACCTTTTTGCTTTGGTGGAAATATATCTTAAACATACATGTTGCAGTTAAAGGGAAACCCCCAAAAAAATGTATAGGTCCCCTTTAACGAAAGTGTATGTGATGCAACTGTCTGAAGCCCAGTAGAGGGCAGTCTTGGTGCATGTAGTAACCTTACAGATAAAAAGGGCTGAAAAGTGGAGTTGTGTCATTCCTGATTTTCGGATTCTTCTAAATTATAAATCACTTCCAAGAAAATAAGTAACATAATAATGTTAACTAAACAGTGAACTTTATCTGAAAAATGTACCACAAGAGAAAGGATCTTGCATGCTCTTACAATGGCTAAATTACACGTAATGGGAAAAGGTTATTTAAACCCTAGTGTGTTGCAGCAAAAATGATTTGTAGCAACTTAATATTTATGTTAAATTGTGCTTTAACCACTTTCAACAAATGTTTAAAGTTTGTTTACATGATTTTTGCCTGAATTTTAACTTGTATCTGTCAAATCATGTCTTAAAACCCATTGATATACTATGGGGTTCTTATACATTTTAATTATCTTATATTGTTTCATTGTATTTGCTGTACTTTCTTTCATATGTAGGATCAATTTTTGTTGCTGAATAATACACTTTTATAAAAATACATTTACACATTTTAATATAATTTATTATTTTAATTATTTTCTACTTATTTACACTTTCATGTGGAGCTCCTTTTGTAAATGCTGTATGGTTTTGAGTCTGTTTAAAATATATGTATTCCGAGCACCTGATTATAATTGTAACTTTGTCTTGAAAAGTTGAACAAACATACAAGTTTATTATACT